ACACACACACACACACACACACACACACAATATAAATTTATTTCATGTGAAATGGATTACCTCCCCCTATAAAATAAAGCACTTTTATTGATAAAATGGTTTTCCCACATGCTAAATAGCTAAGTGGCTTATCCCTGGAAGAAAAGGAAAATGACTATTTGTCATATGTAAACCTATATCTCTTCCTCCCTTGCTCCAGTGCCATCTTGAGAATATTGATGGCTCATTGAGAGGGAGGAAGAAGTGGTTTCTCCATCCCTCCAACCATCACTTGGAAATTACAGATTTACTGCAGTGGAAAACCAGCACTCACTGAAAAGGGGATTGGCAGGCTAATCCACCTCCCCACCCAGTAATTTCCACCTCTTGACCAAGCAGCCATGAATAGTAACTGCAGATCATGGAGTTCAGTGGAGGATTGTGGGAACACTTTAACATTAAGAATCAGTTCTAAAAACAAGAAGTTGTTAACTGGAGCAAAACGCATGCCAAAACAGAGGTCAGGAATAAAGGTCAGGCATGGGGGAAGGGGCTATGGAATGTAAAGCATTGGCAGCAAGAAATGGAAAATGACCAGTCAGAAAGAGGAAACTGGGGCAGCAAAGGGAACAGAAGGACCCAGCGCACTCACTTCTTTCTCACTGCCACAAATTTCATTATGCAGTTTGGAGGGGAAATTAACATTGTTTAAAACACAAAGCAGCAACAGAGAGCTACATGAGAGGGAACATCCCGCATCTCCTCCTCACCCAGAACCACCCCTGAAATTCAGAAGGAACCTGGTAGCAGTTTTTCAGACTAATCAATATTTGTTTGTATTTTAATGGTTTTTATGTATTTGTGTTGTTTTATTATGTACACCACCCAGAATCACTACGTGAGATGAGTGGCTATATAAATGTGATAAATAAATGAATTAAAAGGCGTACCCTTTTGTGAGCTACAGTTCCCTTCGTCAGCTATGAGTTTCGATGAGGAAACTCATGAAACCTTCTGTCTTTTAATATCATTTGAAAATCTTGCTCTGCCATCAAGCCTGGGGCCCTGATAGTATGGGCGAGCCTGTTTTTGGTCTTGATTGTGTTAGCTGAGTGTTCTCTGCTGCTATGTTATTTTGGTTTGTTCCTGTTGTTTTTAAATGTGGGTAATTCCCTGTTGCCATCATTAACCGAATGCCACTGGTCATTAGTCAAGGACTCACCCTGATCCAAGCCATTCCCGGCTTGGTCCCTGCCAGCCCCGAGCCTCCTCTTGAACTCCCCCCACTCACCTATCTCCCCCCAATCTCTGCCATTTTGGTTACCTTGCACAGCAGCACTCCTCAGTGGCGGTGGTAGCACCAGCAGCACTGGGGCTGAAGTAGAGGCCCAGGGCCTTCAGCAGTCTCAGCCAGTCGGCGCTGCCCCCGGGCCTCTACTTCAGCCCCAGTGCAGCCCCCACTGCCAAGGAGTACTGCTTCAAGCCCTGCACTGCAGCCAGCCACCCCAGCACCCCAGCGCAAAGCCCCAGCCACCCCCGCTGCTCTGCATTCCACTGGCCCCCAGCTGACCTTTGTCGTTGTCTTCCTGCTCCTGACATGGCACACCTGGCTTGGCCCTGTGCAAGACCAGCTGCTGGCCGTGCCAGGCTGTCTTCCTGAGGCTGCACACACCCTTCTCCAAGTCATGCACAGCCTTCTCACAAGCTTTCAGAAGGCCTTAGAAGCCTTCAGAAGCATCACAAGAAGGCTGCGTGTGATTTGGAGAAGGGCGCATGCGGCCTCAGGAAGAAGACCTGATGCGGCCAGCAGCTGCCTCATGTAGGGCCAGGCCTGGTGCACCTCATCAGTAGCAGGAGGAAGAAGACCGTGAAGGTCAGCTGGGGATGGCAGAGGTGGCGGAGTGCAGGGCAGTCAAAAGGGCAGAGATGGGGGAAATATAGGTGGGGGGGCGGGAATTGAAGCACCCCTGCGGTTGTAAGTGTGGGCAGGCTGCCAAGCACCTAAACTTTGATCGTGTGACCGTGGGGGTGTTGCAACAGCCGTAACTTAAGGGACTGGGCATAAGTACCATTTGCTCAGCATCACCTTAACTTCAAACAATCTCTGAACGAATGGTCATTAACTGAGGACTACCTGTACCTTGACTGAAATGCTGTTAGGGTCATAATGGCACAATGCTACTTTCATCATTCTGATGAAAGCTTGAGATCCTGCCTCTGCTGCTGGAGAAAAGTTGACATTAAAAGCTACAGTGAAGAGCAGAGAAAGGATAGGATAGGAAGATACTATTTAACCAGTTTTGTCCAGGGCAGGTCATTCTCACAAAACCCACAGATGCACAGCTGAAATAAATGTCTCAAGGATTATTTTCGATGGGCAAAACAGCTCCCCCTTCAGGGGGTTTCTAGTCCTGTGTTTCCAGTATGAAACTCCATATAACATAGTTTGGCCTTAGTACATATGAATATGAGCTCTGAAAGAAAAAACAACGATTTTGAAATATGTTTCAAACTAATTGATAGAAAAAAGTATATACGCATGCAATAGTATTAACAAGATCAAGTAATATCAAAATTAGTAATTATTATATTATAATAAAAATGAGGGAAATCTGGAAATTATGTTATAAAAAAAATAACTTCCCAAAAACTGAACACAGGTTCTGAAATCTTGTTCCTTTCCCCATTGTTGAAACAACGGGGCAAATTTGGAGAAACTACACATACCAGCAATCCATTGCTTCGAATCAGGTTTAATTTCTCCTTCCAGTTTAATGTGTGGGGGTGGGAGGGGAAGACACCCTTTCAACAGCAGCCTAGCCTCAAAGAAAGCTCTGTAAATACCGAGCAGAAACTAAAGGAGGAATATTTGCTTCTATGCTGGCTGTCAGGAAAGGCTTGGAATAACTGAATAGTCCTGTGCATTATTGTACTGTTAGGAAAGTGAAATATTTTTTCTTCTGTTCTGAAGTCAGGCAGAAGATTCCGCATTCAGTCACTTTATCTCTAGCAAAAAAAAAAAAAGTTTGTCTGAAACTCTAGAGAGTTGTTACTCTGTCTTGATAAGACAGAGGTGGATGAACCAGTGGTTTGGGTTGATTTCTACCCTGGGACTTCATGAATGAAAAGCATAAATAAATTGAAATTGCTATGCATCAATTGATAACTTTGATACTTTTTTTTCCTTTTTTTTTTTTTTTTT